AGAGGCGCTCACCGGGCTGGCGGTGGAAAGAACCGTCTCGGACCTGGGAATACAAGTCTAGTAAGGAGAGGATCCGTCTCTCGGTGATGATCCGTCTCGGACCATGATAGATTTTTTTATTCTCAGGAGAGGCGCTCACCGGGTTGGTGGTGGAAAGATCCGTCTCTCGGCGATGATCCGTCTCGGGTGGAATCAAGCCCGCGGCCTCCTAGCTTCAGAGCTGCAACGCCTCTTCCAATTGAGCTATGGATCCTTGCTACACTTGGATTTATTCACAGGAGAGGCGCTCACCGGGCTGGAGGCGGAAAGATCCGTCTCTCGGCGATGATCCGTCTCGGGTGGAATCGAGCCCGCGGCCTCCTAGCTTCAGAGCTGCAACGCCTCTTCCAATTGAGCTATGGATCCTTGCTACGCTTGGATTTATTGACAGGAGAGGCGCTCACCGGGCTGGAGGCGGAAAGTTCTTGCTCCCAGGAAAAACAGATGGAAAGATCCGTCTCGAAAATTTCTTATTCCCAGGAGAGGCGCTCACCGGGCTGGAGGCGGAAAGATCCGTCTCGGGGAATTTCCTATTCCCAGGAGATGGAAAGATCCGTCTCGAAAATTTCTTGTTCCCAGGAGAGGCGGTCACTGGGCTGGAGGTGGAAAGATCCGTCTTGAAAATTTCTTGTTCCCAGGAGAGGCGCTCACCTGGCTGGAGGCGGAAAGATCCGTCTCGGGGAATTTCCTATTCCCAGGAGATGGAAAGATCCGTCTCGAAAATTTCTTGTTCCCAGGAGAGGCGGTCGCTGGGCTGGAGGCGGAAAGATCCGTCTCGGGATTTTTTCTATTCTCAGGAGATGGAAAGATCCGTCTCGAAAATTTCTTGTTCCCAGGAGAGGCGGTCACTGGGCTGGAGGTGGAAAGATCCGTCTCGGTTTTTTTTCTATTCCCAGGAGATGGAAAGATCCGTCTCGAAAATTTCTTGTTCCCAGGAGAGGCGGTCACTGGGCTGGAGGTGGAAAGATCCGTCTCGGGATTTTTTTCTATTCCCACAAAAAAAGGCGGTCACTGGGTTGGAGGCGGAAAGATCCGTCTCGGGGAATTTCCTATTCCCAGGAGATGGAAAGATCCGTCTCGAAAATTTCTTGTTGCCAGGAGAGGCGGTCACTGGGCTGGAGGCGGAAAGATCCGTCTCGGGATTTTTCTATTCCCAGGAGAGGCGGTCACTGGGCTGGAGGCGGAAAGATCCGTCTCGGGGAATTTCCTATTCTGAGGAGATGGAAAGATCCGTCTCGGGATTTTTCTATTCCCAGGAGAGGCGGTCACTGGGCTGGAGGCGGAAAGATCCGTCTCGGAGATCCGTCTCGGGTCGAGGGAGGAAAATGAATTCCCAAAAGGCACTCACCCGAAATAATGATCCGCCCGGGTGGAATCGAGCCCGCGGTCTGCAAGCTTCAGAGCTGCAGAGGGTCGTGTTAGCAGCCGAGGCCGTGGAGCACCTGCGGTGCTATCCCAGCCACACTCTGCAAGCCAAGGTAGCGGCTGGCAAGCCTGATTTTCTCTTGTCTTTCCCTTTTCCGCAGCAGCTGGACATGCGGCGGCGTTTCTGCCGGACGTGCAAGACAAGAAAGGCTCCTTGCCCGGTGTGGTCAGCCCGGCCAGCAGACGTGCTCCGGGTCTGCCCCAAGGCCCTAATCATAGAGCTGCCGGCTCACATGCGGAGAGGGCTGTATGTCACTAAGGAGTTTCTGCTATTTCTTCTTCAAAGCCTGCAGTGCGGGCTGAATAGCCGGCACGCGCGGCGCCAGATCATGACCCTTTTCTCCAGCACATTGCTCGCGCGCGCGCAGCATAGCTTGGTGCCTGCCCCAGACATTTGGGCGTCATCTGTCCTAGCCATTCCCACAGACTATGAGCTGCGAGCTCTGGCTGAAAGGGCCTTTGCGCGCTTTGTCAAGGACAGAGTTGCCGCAATGAAGAGTCGCCAGGCCATATACAATTTTGCTGTTATCCGAGGGGATGGGCACTTTGATTTGGCGTCCCGGGTGAAGGAGAGGGATGCTGCCACTGGGTACCACCATGCTCCTTATTCCTGTGTCCTGGGGTGGTGTGGGTTGGACGGAAGTTTGCTGAAGCCATTCGTGCTCAGTGCTGGAGAATCCTTTGAGGAGCAGAAAGCAGATCTTAGGCCGTATTTGGAGTATGCGCGGGATGTCAGGCAGGAGTTCGGCCTGAGCATCGAAGAGTCCAGGCCTGTTGCTCACTGCACTGACACTTATGGCAAACACCGCTTGCTATGGCCAAGGGTGTATGACAACGTGTGGAAAGCTCAGCGCGTGGCTCTGGACACTGCGAGTCATGTGTCTGCCGTGCCGCCCAAGCAACTGGCCGCAGGCAATGCCACGCTGGTGTGCGGCGACCCCCGCCACGACATCATAAACCTTCGACGAGCTCTGTCGTGCTTGAGCTTCGACTTTGCGGACTTCTACCATGACCACGAGGATGCTTTGCTGCGCCTCAGCTCCCCGCCCCTGCAGCGGAGCGAGGAGTCAACGTCGCAGCCGGCCGCAACCCAGCTCACAGAACCAGCTTGCTGAGGTCACTCAGTTTTTGCAGAGCCCCACAGTCTTGCAGGATCGGGCTTGGCTTCAGGTTGCCGGTTGCTTGCCGCCGCGGGGCGTTGCTGCGCGCTTAGCTAAGCGTCTAGGTGTGGAGTTGTCTGACCTGGCAGGGTTCCACAACTATCAGTCCAAGAAAGCTTTTCGATTGGAAGTTCTCCGACTCCGGCGCTGGTACTCTGTGCCCAGGAAGTTGCAGAAGCCTGGGAAGCGCTTGGGTGCGCGCATCCTGCGCAACGCACCTTCAAGCCAGCGCACGCGGCAAACTTTTCTACGAAAAGCGCGGCCCATAATGACAAAGAAGGTGAAGCTTCACTACAAGCGCTTGCTTGCCCCTGTGCGGATACGAGGCCTGTGGCAGTGGCGACAAATTGCATTACTGATGCACAAAGCCAAGCTTCCCTTGCAGACTGGGACTGTCTCAGTGGAGCGCCTCTGGGCGCAGGCACAGCAGTGCTTTCCACGGAACTCGCGCAAGGTTGGGCGCACATGGTTTGAGTTCTTGTCTGATCTTTGTTTTTTGCGGCTGACCTATAGCCATTTTCATCGATTCAACCTTCCATCCTGGACACGAGGAGATGCTTTGCTTGCGGAGCGGGCAGACATGATGTTCTCCATCGGCCAGCAACTGGCAGAGGACCCGGAGGGCGGCTCGCATTTGCTCAATGAACTTGCTGCTTCCGCGGCGCCTATCAAGCCTGCGTCTGCGACGCGTTCTGCCCAAGCCCATCCCCAGGCCAAGACAGCCGCGCGGGCCCCGCCCCCTGCAAGCAACTTGGAGCGGGCTGCAGAGTTTGGCGGTCCTGCCTCTATGCTGCGCCTCCAGCAGCCTGCTGTGAGCTGCAGAGGAAGACACTTTGAGAATGCGTGGGGTGAGAGTAATCTGCCCTCGCCAGCGCCGCCCCTGACAGGCGTACATCTACCTGCCATGGACCCGGTCATGGTGCGCCGCCGCATGCTGAGCCCGATTTGGAGCACGGCTTTGGCGGACGGTCGGAAGTTTGTAGAAATACAAAGGTACCGAAAGCATGCGGGAAATCAGATGAGGTGGTGCCAGCCAGGGGTCCTGCTGCTGTTTGGCCCGACCGGGAGCGCGCAGCATCAGGGGCTTGCACACGGTGTTGCAGAAGTTGCCGGCGCCGCCAAACTTGCTATACCAGCAAACAGCGTATCATCCTATCTACACGCCATCGATCCTGACTTGCATCCAGCCATAGGAAGCTATTTGGAAGGCTGCGCGAGCATGGACGTGGCGTTCGTATCTCGTGTTTTTGATTTGCGGCCACTGGGCCTCAGCTGGCAGGCTCTTGCAATGGAGCTCGGCATTTCCCGCTTTCCTCAAAGCCAAGGATTTCCTGCAGTGGGCGGCGCTGTCCTGCGCGACAAAATTTTGCAGCTGTGCGCAGCGAGATCTTTGCCGACTTACTCGGCCCGAAGCCTTGCTTGACACAACGGCAGCGGCAGCCACTTGGCTGCTGTGCAATGCGCGTGACTCCAGCGCTGTGCCTGCGGTCTCACTTGCATGGCCTGGATGCTACGTTTCGGTCGCGTGGCCTGTCGTAAAAAAGCCGTGCGACTGTTAAAGAAGAATTGTCAGTCGGCTATGGAGGTGAGGCCTGAGCAGCCATCACAATGCAGCAGATGATAGCTCCCAACCTACTACGTTTCGTCGCTTCCAAGGACGGCTGGTTGGCGACACCGACGGACTTTAAGAGACTCCCGGAGATCCTGCGTGCGTGTGAGACGCTGCAGGTGTTGAGCTCGGGCGTGTGTGTGTGTGTGTGTCTGTGTGTGTGTGTGTGTGTGTGCGTCTGTGTGCCTGCTTTTCGCGGACAGGCATGGGCGCAGTTAACGCAGCTTGCTGTCCCATTTGAACTTTTTGGCGCTGTTCGCGTTTAGAGCCCCTCTGCTACAAACCTGGCTCTGACAAATTCAGTTTCAGTACTCCGATGTCTCACCATTTTCCCGTTTAGCCACTGCTATGATCCTGTACCCTCGACTGTAACTAGATCAGCAAGCCACGAGCACACGCATGGGAGAGCCGAAGCATAAATCAAAGAGAGGGGATTACCACACGTGTGCCTTTTGGTTTCTTATTTCCTCATAGCAGAGCCAAGAGCCGAGGCGACAGCTCGCCCTGCTGTGTGTAGCTCAGGTTAAGGTTAGGGGTGGGCGCCAATTGCCTTGGGCCGAGGGACCGCGGGGACTTCGCAATGTCAGGAAGCAAGGCGCGGAGCGTTTGCAATTTCTCTGCATCATGCAAGGCTCAGCCGATCCGCTGTGTGCCGTTGCCAGTCGCTTAGTCCGGCGACCAGGCACCTTGTCTATGATGCACACCGCAGTCATTGGAAGGCAAAGCCTAGCCGGTTTTTCAGGGACAGTTCTAGACAACAGGCCGCAATGCCGTCTCCTGAGCCCTTGGGCGAAGCTGTGCTAGAAGGAAGCCAGCTGGCTGATAGTGACAACGCCAGCCCGCTGGATGATGACCGTGAAGTTGCAGCTGGCCTTTGCACGCCCAAGACACGCCCCCCAAAGGGTGAGCCCGACACACCTGAGCTGGAAAGGATGCTGGCTAACTTGGGTGCTGGGGAGGTCGAGAACCAGCAGGCCATCGCCAGCTTTCTTCCTGCGTCCTGTGACTTGGGCTACCCCTCGGTGTCGCCAGCGCAGCGGACGGACAGCCTGCGCTCAACGCCTGGCCATTGCGAGTCGCCCAGGCTGCCGCCTAGCAGTCGTGAGAAGGAGCGGTTCTCTGGCATGCCCCTGTGCGGAGTTGATCACTTGGACTCAACCCCTAACAGCGCCCCGAGGGCCTGTAGCGAATCAGACGCACAGCTCACTACGCCTGGCCATCGTGCGTCGCCCGAGCTGCCGCCTAGCAGTCGTGAGAAGGAGCGGTTCTCTAGCATGCCCCTGTGCGGCGTTGATCACGAACAAGGTATTCGGCTTCTCCGCTCCTGCCTGGCGCGTGCTTTAGGTGATGATGCCTACCTGGGGACAGAGCGCAGTTCCAGCACACCAAGCTGGGGCAGTAGCTCGGACTGGGAGGCGATGAGGGCAGAGGTCGTAAAATGCCTTTCGGAGCACTCAGCCGCCCCCCCCAACCAAATCGTCTGCGTGCCGGCGGCCTTTTTCCGGGACGCCGACTTTCAAGTGCCTGACGCAGACGCAGAGGCGGTGCTCGTGCATGGCGGCGTCGACAACACCATGGGTCCATCCTGCAGCGGCTCGCACTTCATGCCACTTCTCACTGCCGATCAGTTCTCATCTGTCCCCGTTGGTCGGGGCCATGTGCGCTGGAGAGACATGGTGTCCTCGGTGGCTTCACGAGGTACTGCGGCGGCTCTGGACCAGGTTCGTGACCAGGGAGATTGCTACTTTCATTCCATCCTGGTGCTGCTCCACTTCAAAGGCGTGAGGTTTGCGCGACTTGGGCCCGCAGCGGATGTCCCCGTAACAGAGGTGGACTCAACCCCCAACAGCGCCCCGAGGGCCTGTAGCGAATCAGACACGCAGCTCACTCCAACACAAGCGGCAGCGGCAACTTGTGCTCGCCGAGGTGTTTGCTTTGAGGATGCCTTGCAGCAGCAGCAGCAGGCGGGGTCCATGCAGGAAGACCCCTTCGACAAAATGCTAGTGACCATGTCGGAGGCTGTGAAAGGGGAGAGTCTGCAGCAGGTTGTTTTCCCAGATCGGCTTTTCCAAGGACTGGGCAACAAGCAGCAAGTCTACGACAGTGTCAAGTCCTGGGTCGTGAGTGCTTACCAGGCTACAGGTCACCACCGAACCGTGGCAGCAGACGTGGACTTTGACCTGCGCACGATGACGGCAGAGCCCTTTGCCGTTGCCGTGGACACCGTCGCCAAAAAAAAAAGGCTTGTCGTCAGAGGCGCTTCTGGCCGTCATCGAAGCCAACATTGGCTTTCTGGAAGCACCTGGCACGACCTTGCAGCATGAGGATGACTCAGGGCATTCCATCAGCCCAGCATCTCCTGTTATGGTGGGCAGCGCCAGCTCGACCAGGAAGAGCCACCTCATCCGAGCCTCAGATGATTGGATGCTGACCTCGCCTGAGGCGACCGAGATCTTTGCCTCTGCCCAAGTCATGAACACAGACTGTACAACAAAAGGTGTGCGTCTGTCCTTGCAAGAGCACGGAAGATGCGCCATCAGCTCCGACGAGGCCGCGAACACCTTCCTAACCAAATACTCGGATAAGGACTGTGGCCTTCATTTCTTGGCGCCTGCGAAGTTAAACACCTGGACTCAATGTGAACACGATGGTCCGGCCACGGGCCAAGGCAAGATGACCTTGTCTCAGTACAACTTCCTCCTCAAGGTGGCAGGCCAGGTGCAAGTTTGCGAGCAGATTCTCCTGCCCAAGGTGCCGGCTTCCAGAAGAGGATAAGACAAGTCTGGGTCTTCACTGACCACGAGATCCAAGACCTGCAGCGCTCAGCGTCCAGCGAGGCTGCGATTCAACGCTTGCACGATTTCATGCACAAGAATTTCACAACCCCAGGCCGAGCCCAGAAGATTGTGTTGGACGGCTACGCACTTTCCATGTATAGGGCTGCCAAGCAAGCCATTGACGACGCTGTGTCGTCTTTGCCTCTGCCGGCTGTCTACAAGACAAAACTGCAGTTTTTCCATTCTGACATCCTTCGTGATGCACACAAAACTATGCGCGTTCACCAATTCCTTTGTCAGTCCGTTTCCAAGGGCCAGACAGAAAGGAGGTTTATCAGCATGGATGAGTTCACTGTGGCTCTGCGAAAGTGGCGTCGGCAGATAGAAGTCCATTTCGCTTTCTATCGATTTGCGCAAGCCTTCATGGAGGACTGTGTGGCTTCCTGTCGTTGCTCTGTTCGTGTTTCAGCTGCAAACTTTGGTAGTTGCACTTTTTGTGTACTGGGCTTCTCGGCAGGATTCCAAGCTCAAGCAGGGTGACAAGTGTGTGGAGCAGCCGGGCGAGGTGGTGTTCGCGGCGCCGGAAGATGACCTGGAGCCTCTGGAGCAGGACGACGTGCTGAAGCAGCAGATCCTGTCGAAGGCACCCAGCCATGAGCCTTTCACTGCCAAAGATATCCGGGACTGGTTCAAGAACAAACGTCACCACTGGTATCGCGCCAACTTGGCATCCAAGATTTCCTCGGCATGCTCGTCCTTAGTGAATGCGGGCCTCTTGCAAACAGTTGAGGGCGGTGGTGAGCCGGCAGGGACGAAGAGCGCCATGCGAGGAACTGGAAGCCGGGGGCGGCCAGCAGCAGTGGTGCGAAAGCGGTCTTTGGCGACCGTCCAGGCGGATGATGTTGCCGAGACTGAGCGGAAGCGCTTGCGAGTAGGTCTTTCTAGTTTCCAGTGACACACGCCAGAAAGGGTGTGGGCAGACTTTGACGTGTTCTCACGGGGTGATGGCTGCGCAACACCTTCCAGTCACATATAGAGATGCCAGCCATGCTGCTTCATTGATATATTTCAGGCGACGAGAAAAGGCGCCGTGCCTAGATAGTATCATGTGACCAAGTGCCCTGAATTCTCACGTGTAGCACAAGAGGAGTTTGACAACTGAAGCCTGCTTGCAGGTGACGCCTTGCTCCACTTCATGCTTCAATGGCATGAAGAGACTTGGCTTGGCAAGTTTTGGCCCTGACGTGCTCTTTAGAAAGCAGGCGCGAGCGTTTGCGGTGGCCAAGTTTCAGCTTGGAGCTGGGATGTCGCCACGCGGGTTGGGGGTACTTTGGTCTCCCTGCTTGCTGCGATCCTGAGCCAGGAGGCGTGCGAAAGAGGTGGAGGGCTCTAGGTCCATAAGCTTTGGCTCAGACAGTTTCTAGTGAGGACGCGAGACTGCGTGATAGATACTGCATGGCTGAGCCACGTGGACTCAACGCTCGTTGGCGCAGATGGGTATGTCTTTTTCGACGGTGCTTATTCGGGGTTGGTTTATACAAAAAATTGCAGATTCCATGCACCTGTCGCATTCTATTGCGGCAGTCGCATAATATCAGTATTCCGCACACACGGGCAAAGTCTGCTAAGTGGATGCTCAGTTTCAATCATCAATGACAAAAAGAGGCGCCGAGCCGCATCGCCCAGGTGACTGCGAGCATGGACGTGGCGTCGCAAGATGCAATTTGCATTTTAAAGCAACTTGCGCAGAGCAACTTGCGCAGAGCAAGTTGCACAGAGCAACTTGCGCAGACCAACTTGCACCGACCAGTTTGCGCAGAGCGCCTTGCCTAGAGCAACTTGCGCAGAGCAACTTACGCAGAGCAACTTGCACAGAGCAACCTTGCAGCTTGCACAGAGCAACTTGCAGGGAGCGCAATTTGCACAGAGCAACTTGCAGGGAGCCACTTGCAGGGACCAACTTGCCGGAGCAAGCAACTTGCGCAGAGCAACTTGCACAGTGCAACTTGCGTAGAGCAACTTGCGCAGACCAACTTGCACCGACCAGTTTGCGCAGAGCACCTTGCCTGGTGCTGTCTCGCGCTTGCTTCACGAATGCTTCGTGTAGGGAAAAAGAACGCATCCTGCAGCGTTGGGCCGACCTCGCTTGCGATGTTCTGCTTTCGGGCCAACCGTGGTCTAGTTGTTTTCCTGTCGAGCAACCCCAAAAGGGTACCCGCAAAAAAGAAACCCATATGAACCTTAGCCCTTTTGCTCAAACCAAACCTCAGCTCCGCTTTTGGTTGCTCAGGTTCTTTGGACCCGGGTGGGGTAGCTTCGCAAGCAACATGCGCTCACGGCCACTTGGTGGCCAATGCCAGGCTTCGGTTGCATTTGACATGGCATCCCCTAAAAGGAGGGGGGGAAGTAAGGGTACCTCTCCTGGGGCTGGTCTGAAGAGAAACCGAAGGTCAGGTAACCCTCAATTGGTGGTTTAGAATGTTGGCTTGGATTTGATTCTTGTACAGGGTAAACGGAGAGCTGCCCCTTAACCTCCAAACCGCCAAATAGGGGGAATCTGATCTATCCTTTTCGACACATACCCCTTGCGCGCAAGAACCTAAACCTAAACGCAAGCTTTCTCTGGAAATCAGAAGGGTTTCACACACCCCAACAAGAAGAGATGCAAGAGGCTTGGCTGGCGACTCCCGAGGTGGAATCTCTGAAGAGGTTGTTCACCCTGACGGCAACTTGGACCTCTGTCTCAGGTGAGATTCAGCGAGCCTGGAAACAGAGCCACTTCTACAACCCAAAATGGGCATGTAGAAATGGTCTCAGGCTTTTGGCCCGGCCAGGCGCTTGATGGTGCTAGGGCCGGCAAAGTTCGGCTCCTTCTCGCGTCGCTACAGAACAACAAAATCGCTGCCTCGAGAAACGAGGGAAAATGTATCGTGGTGTTAAGCTTCAGCCCAAATATGATCATCCGCTGATCATCGCTTAAATGCACCTCTTTCCTCTGACGGTGGCACCAACGGATGCTAGTTGACGCTGGCAGTGAGATAAAATATTCTATCACTCGGTCCAGCAGAAGCTAAGAATGACCACCAGTAGGCGGACCTTAGCCCCCGCCTTTTTAAGGATCTACATTTTGTGGAGAGCCCCCCCTAGTCTTGGTCCAGAAAGGTAAAAGGTCATCCCCCGGACCCAAAACCACCCCCCCTTTCCACGATTTCCGCTTTCGGCCGCTCCATGGATAGCTGCCAACCCCCCCCCCTTCTTGGTCCAGACAGCCGTTTCCCGGCTGCCGGGGATGACGATATGTCCCGAAGCTTTAGAATTCGAGCGCCATTTAAAACGTCACTGGCATTTTAGGTGGCAGCGCAGACCTGCCTGTGTGTGATTTTGAGCGCCATTTGAAATGTCAGAGGCATTTTAGGCGTCATCCAGGACATGCCTGGGTCGGAATTGAAGCGCCATTTAAACTGTCAGAGGCATTTTAGACGTCGTCCGGGACATGTCTGGGTCGCAATTAAAGCGCCATTTTAGATGTCAGCTGCATTTTAGACGTCATCCAGGACGTGCCTGGGTCAGAATTGCAGCGCCGTTTTAAACGTCAGTCGCATTTTAGATGTCATCCAGGACGTGGCTGGATCGGAATTAGAGCGCCACTTTAAATGTCAGCGGCTTTTTAGGTGTCAGCCCGAACATGCCGTCATCAGAGTTTGAATAACGCTTTTATTACTAGTGCAATTCGCACATTTGCACATTGCCCGGTATATTGCCCTGCAGTCGGATTTTGAGCGCCATTTTAAAAGTCAGTCGGATTTTAGTCGTCACTTGCTGGTTGCTGCCAGTCGGATTTTGAGCGCCATTTTAGATTTCAGGCGTCACGACCAGTTTGCAGTATATATGGCTGTGGGACAAGGTGACCTGGAATTTAAGCGTCATTTTAGTCGTCACCGGACACTCCAATTTTGGACCCCTGATTGCCGCAACTCTGTATATATATATATAATATATATATATATATAATACATATATATATATATATAAACCCGCGGGCGGAGGGCACCTCAGCTGGTTCTCCCGAGTGCCCAAGGCCACCAGCTTCCTCCTCTTCTACGCCGCCTCCGGGGGAGCTGAGTCCGGCGGCCCATTTCCAGGTGGGAGCGGAATGAATTCGTGGAGTGGAGTCACCATCTTCCATTTGTCATGAAAAAGGGGGTTATCTCCAGGAAACAGTCGTGTGACTGGTCGAATTAGAAGGGTTTCGCTTCAGGAAGCCTTGATGATGTATGTAAGAGGCTTTGTCCACGCAGTTCAAGGAATCGCCAGACAAGGTAGGGAGAGAGTTGACGCAAACCGCGAGATGCTCTCGGCGCGGATCCCTTGTAAAGCTTCAGGAAAATATGGGGGCGACTGATCTGCATGCGTGTGCGCATCTTGCCTGACCTGACCGAGGTCACTATTTGAATGATCCTTCCTTTCCTTTGAGCAACTGAAGTGGCTTGCTCCCGTGGAATTTTGGAGTGAGTTTGAACATTTGCCACCTTTTTCAGGCATCCCCGGCCTCGCAGCGCTGATGAGAGTGATGAGAGTTCCCGCTTGCCATCGTCACAACCGGGACGCCACTGGGAGAGAGATATGGCTGTGGGTCAAAACCTATGGTACCATTTTGGGGTAGCCCATTTTAGTCTATTTTAGGGGGGATTGGGATGTTCACTGGGGGTACGGGATTTTGACCTATGGCCATACCTCAAGGCAAGAGACGCCCAGCAGCCTGGCGATCGCGGACCTGGACGGCAGCGCCCAGAATCTGAGCTTTAGCGGGGTGTTGAACCTCGAGAACCTTACAGGCCGGGTGGTTGCCTTTCCGTTTATTCATTTTGTTGGAGGGGTTTCTCTAGTGCAGTCCTTTTCCGTTTCTTTCTTTCTTTCTTTCTGTCTGTCTGTCTGTCTGTCTGTCCGTCTGTCTGAGCGCAGCCGTAGGCAGTCTCGGAGCGACTCCTCAGTTCAAGTTTGATAGTTATTTTGCCCAGATACACGGGTGCGGCTACCGTGTTGCGTGTTTTCTTCTGGGGGGGAGACTCCTTTAATGCCGCACAAGGCTTTTGATGACTCACATGGGCTCGGGAAAGGGAACATGAGGCGGAGATACGATCGCTTTGGTGGGCATGGCAAGCTGCCTTTCGTCCGATCGCCCAAAGGCAAGGCTGGAAAGACGTGGCGTCAAGAGTCGGTTTCTCGCTATGGGGTCCTTGCCCAAATAGGCTTTGGGGTGGTCCGGGTGCTCTGAGGTTGGGTTCAGAGGAGGGTTTTAGGCATGCGTGGGGCGCTTCCGAGGAGGGCTCCCGGGATGCATGTGGCGGTTCCGAGGAGGGTTCCGCGGATGGGTTGTGCGAGTAGCTGAGTAACTTCTTGTAGGAAGTGCTTGTGTTGTCCTGCGAATTCCCCACTGAGGTTTGTTCCGTTTACTTTCTCACCTAAGGGTGATGGAAGATTCCTCCCATCCCAATTTGGGCCACCTGAAGCCTCTCACCGTTGCCGGCTGATTTAGTGGGTCTCGCTGCAAAGATAGTTTTTGGATGTATTTTCCTTCGGGAGGCCTGCCACGTGACTCGCAGGCAATCTCACCTTTCTCGCCGTAGACGACGCGCAGATCAGCCACTATGCTGGCTCCTCAGGAAACGCTCGGCTTGGCGGAGGTCGGACGTCTGAGGAGTCCAAGTGAGTCTTGTTTGGGTTTTAGGGGGGGTCTGGTGTGGAAGGACAACATTTGCCAGTTGGGATGGACACCCTATGAGTACTGGGACATGACCAACTGGTGCGAAGAGCAGATATGTCCGAGCAATCTGTGAATGATCCACATCTTGAGACAAGCCTCCGTCCGTGGCTTGCAAACGATGCCACCCTTCAAATGGCCTACGTGTGGTTGGTGTTGTGGTCGATGTTGCGCTTGTCGCTACAAGCGCACGA